AGGGCGCATCAAACTTTTCTCTCAACTTCATAAAGATGGAAAGCTTTTGCAGACCATGAGTAGAGTTTACAAAATAAATTCAAACAGAAAAAGAAAACTCCTCATTGTTCTGAAAAATACTGGAGGATTAAGAAGTTTTAAGTATAGTTTTCAAGATTTTGTATTTTTCTTTAAAAACATTACTTAGGAGGGTCTCCTTTGCTAATATATTTTTTCAGAATTACCATATTTGGAGTGTGGGGACAGCTATGGGTGGAAAATTTGCCATAGGATCAGCATTTGGCCTCATTTACCTTTACACAGCAGAGCTGTATCCAACCATGGTAAGGTAAGAGTGAGTTACTTTTCTGTTGTTTCCCTATTATCTTTCACTTACCTGTCACTTCATTATATTTGGCATTTGGGTATGAATGCTTTATTTTCATAGGCAGGACTGGAACTCTGAGATACGGGCAAGTTACAGGATGCTAATACTTAATCTGAGGCTTTGTACCTCCATCAGCAAGGATAGTAAAGAAATTGTTTTGAAATAACACTCTGTTATCCTAAAACCAGTTTAAATCTTGAGTATAATTGGCTTACCCTGACTGTCCGTGTGACGCAGGCTAATTTTCTCAGGATGTGTCTCCCGGGGTTCTGATGTCAGTTGTGTTAGGTTGCTAGGGCTGCCATAGCAAAACCCCAAAGCTGGGAGGCTCAAAGAGCAGGACTTTATTTTCTCACAGTTCTGGAAGCTAGAAGTCCCAAGATTGAGGCGTTTGGCAGTTTTGGTTTCTCCTGGGGCCTCTCTCCTTGGCTTAAGAAAAGATACTTATTCACATGAAAAAGGACTTTTCTTTCCTTCCTACTAGACATTTTATAAGGTCTCTTTAAATGCTTTTTTAAAAGTAATTTTTTTTTTTTTTTTATCCTCACCTGAGGATATGTTTCTATTGATTTTAGAGAGAGAGAAAGGCAGAGAGAGAGAGAGAAACACCAATGTGAGAAAGAAACATCGATCGGTTGCTTTCTATACTCGCGCCGACCACAGATCGAACCCACGCCTTCGGTGTGTGCCCTGACCGGAATCGAACCCACAACATTTTGGTGTATAGGACAATGCTCCAATCCACTGAACCACTCGGCCAGGGCTAAATACCATTTAAAGAAAAACACATTGAGATATTGTTTGACTTTTTAAAAATAAAATAAAATGTTCCATAGATATAAATGTTTTGTTCTCCCAAATTCCCACTCTCTACCCCAAATTCCTGCTCTAGACGACCGATGTTATCCTCAGTGACAGACTGAATGAATCTCTATGAGGGCCTCATCTGCATACCAGATGAAGAATGGTTTACCCTTTTTTCCGTCTTGAATTGTCTTGAATCATCTGCATGCTTGTATATACCCGTTTCACAGAATGTGGATCTAAATCATGAGTGATTCTTGAAAAATTAAAGTAAAATTATTTCCAGATATATTAAGCCAAGCTTGTTTTATTATATATTCTTTGCTGGAGGGTGGACAGGGGTTACAGGAAGTCGTTCCATCACTCTCTGTGACATCTGTGTTCTACTTGTCTTCCGTTCTTGCTGCTGCGGGTCCTAATTCTCCTCTGTTTTCAGGACGCAGGCCCTGGGGAGTGGCAGCATGGTGTCCCGTGCGGGAAGCATCATAGCCCCGTTCAGCATTTACCTCTCCAGCATTTGGATCTTCATGCCCCAGGTGTTTAATCCGTTCATAGGGCCTTGCTGAAAGAGCAGAGCGGCAGATCAGCCAGTTGCCTTCTATATTTTTGTTTACTGGAAGCAAATTTATAATTCAATGATGGGGGTTTGTAGGAACCTTATTAACAGCTCACCGGTTGGTAGGTAGGGTGGTGGCTGCTGTTTTCTTGTTGGCCGATTGCCTTCCATCCAGCGGTGAGCCGAGTATGACACCTCTGCCTGCTGGAGAAGGGTCTCTCCTCGCCCGTGCCAGGAATCTGGGTCCAGGTGGGAGAGCTCTGGTCTCTGTGGTTTCGCCCTCGCCTCTGCCTTCCCACTGCCTGTCTGCTGCTCAGGGAAAGTTCTGGAAGCTGCCTGGTCCTTGAAGGATTCTGTGGAGCTTGACGGAGAGGTTTGGTATTTGTGGTTTTCACATACAAAAACCGTTTCCTTCTGGCTCTGGTCGTGTGAGCTTTCTGCCTGGCTGTGAAGAGTGAAAGCAGTTATGTTCTGTTTGCAGACTTCCTCGGGGCTGGGAGGTTGGGAAATGATGTGGAGCCCGGTTTAGTTGGGTTTAGTAAGACATTCTGGTGAGGAGGAAGCTGGGAGATTGAGGGGGTGGCGGGAGT